AAAAGCAGGACCACATCTGCTGTGTTCACTATGATATCCCCAGCACACTGCACATGATAGCTACACAAATCATTGTTGAGTGAGTAAATGAACCCAAGTCCCACCTCCTCCATGAAATACTTATACCCACTTTCTTTTTGAATTCTGAATACCCTTGGAATAAGCATCATAGTTTAGTACCTAACTTCTCCATAATTGCTTGGTATTAGACTTCTTTCTCTGGCTAGACGCTGGAGTATATGCCTTATGCTTCTTTGCATACCACACAGGACCATCGTAAACACTAGATATACAAGAATATAATACACATTTATTAATTGGAGTACTGATGTAATTCAATATAAAAATTCAGTTTGCATATAACTTTGTAAGAATGCAGCTATTTTGTAAAGTAGGTTAGATATGAATAAAGCCTTTTCCATTGCCAACATTTTATATTTCAGAAATTATTCAGTAGAAGTATGGTTCAGCATTTGGCAATTAGAGAAATAATCTAGAAAATCTCAATAGCCCAGAGTCTGCAGCTCACTAATTCTACAAGCAGAATGGTGCAGAAGTAGAATGAGTACATCAGGGAGATATGACTTGCTAGCTGTCATAATGAGTTTTGAGATACCATGTCGGCATACTGTAGGTGTATTGTAGGCTACTGGTGCCCTCCCAATCTGAGTTTTCCATTTTCTATGGTGTAATGCAGAAATTAAATATTGCTTGAAGGTACTAATTGATTAGTATATTGCTCCTGTAGTCTACTAAATTTATAGTACAGCAAAACTATAATTTAAAATTTTGTTATATAGGTTGTTAAAACTACATTTACAATAAATAATGTATTATAAGAATAATAGTAGCTACTTTGTGTATTTACTACCTGCCAGGTACTGCTTTTAGGGCTTTACGTGTATTAATTCACTAACAATCCTAAGAGTCAGGTACTATTATTGCCCTCATTTCAGAAATTTGGAGGAACTAAGGCAAAAAAAGGTAAGAAATCTGTCTAGGGTCCTACAAGTAGAAAGCAGAGGAGCTCGGTGGGATTCCAATCCAGGCAGGCTGGTGCTACACACCCCATTCTTTAATCCTATATCATAGTGCCTCTCCAAAACAGCACATCACAGTACAGTGGTGAAGTTAAGATGCTTTGAAGTTATCAAGAGAATAATATCTAGTAGTCCAGAAAATGTACCAGCAATGTTTCAATTTACGCTTATCGACTTTTACTACATGATCTCTTAGTACTGTTTAAATGAGAAAGCATTTATTGACCAAAATGAAAATAGTTGTATACAAATAATCTAATATTAATATTAGTGTTTAAATAATGTAATTAATATATTTATCAATAATCAATACATGATGCTTTATATTATTAAATTAATAATAATATAATAATTAAATAAGAATTCTTAGAGCAAATAATTTTACCATCACCTTTTTTTCCTACCATTGTATATACAAGGATCAACAAAGGAGATTACACTTGGAACGCTTTAACAACTAAGCTCTCTCTAAGTTCTGGTAACTCAAGGATCAATTCAAGTCTCCTCATGACAGTAGAGGTCAAATACAAGTTTATCCTAAAAAGCCCTGAGAAATTTTTTTTGGATTCCACTGTAGAATTCTTTCTTTCTGTTCTTATATCTCTGTTGATAGTTTTTCAGGTCTTAACAGAAGCCCTCTTAGTGTTCTCCCCCACGTAAGTGGCAGGTAGCATGCTTCAGGTGAACACGAAGAAGGAGGGCAGAAACCATTTTCTTTACAATTCCAAGAAGCATACAGTGCTCTGAAAACTCTCAGGTGGGGGCAGGGGAGAGAAGTAATTCCAATATTATTCCTTCCCAATCTGCTTTGGTTGGGACATCAAATGCATAAGCAGGATCAGAATCAGTTAAAACAGCATAAAACAAAACACTTTAATTTTTACAAACAAAATCAACTAAGGTAAATGGCCAGGCTACAACAATTTTCCTAAGATGTAAAATAACCCATTTATTTCAATTGGTAAATTGTTAAAATGCATTTCTAATTATAGGTCTGGAAAACTGGAATTCTACACTAGAGAATTATAAAGTAAAAATAAGTTTAAAAAATTAAATCCTTGAGCCATAGCTGTATAATTCTAAATGTGGGCAGAAAACATGGGACAAAAAGCAACTAATTGGCTCAAAATGGGGATATTTTATTGTCGTTTCCTTTAAGGAAAGAAGTACCTGTGAAAACTGATATAAACTACCAATATTCCACATATTTGAGTCCATAAGCATGCGAAAATCACTTAAATTTTCTAACAGTGCTGGAGAAATGAGGAACATATTTATGAAACCAGAAACATCCTACCCTTTCACTTTAATGAAACACATTCCAAAGGTATTGTGATATATTTCCTGCCATACTATCTCAGCAAGTAAGTTATATCACATTAAATCAACCTGAAGACAAATTTATAAGTGAAAATCGTGATTGCCGGGATGGTAAATTGAAATGAATAGGTTTGACTGTTGCCTGCCTCCCCGCTCCCTGTCCCCATCTTAATTTATGTCCTAAGAAAGGTCACTGTTTAAAAACCAAACTCTATGAAACCTTTAAATGCTCTACTGCCCTTTAACGAAGACGAGTAAAGGAAATTTTGAGACAAAACTCCCAAATATTATTCTCTTCTATGTCAGTGCCTGCATCAGCTCAGACAAAATATACTTTACCAACTGGTGAATGAAGATTATTTTCATTCACTGGGATGTCAAAAGTATTGATAAAAGTTTGCTATATATAGAAAAAGTAAAGGTTGTAATTTGTTAGTCTGGGTTATTTTTGCTCACTCTCTTGCTCTCGTTTTCAAACACATTTTACTGTTTCTACATGTACTTTTAAAAGAAAAACAGCCTTCTGCATTACAGATCAGAGATGTTAACCTACTCTCTGGAGGGATTACTGTTTAAGCTAACAGTACCTAGAGGCCACAAACTAAGGTCTTTTTTAAGACTACGATTGGAAAAGAATAGTTCCTATCAGGTTAAGAAGACGAGTACAGAAATCAGTTTGCAGGAGAAAAGGATATGCAGAAATTCCTTGGGGAAAACCTGGAACAGCTTCTGGCTTTAGACAATGTTGTTATTCATTCCCAGCAATTTAGAATATGATTCCAAATTATATTTTAGACACAACACTCAAATCAGAATTAAAGTACCTATAGCAAGCTTCACTTTTTTTTAGATTTGAGTTTACATCAGAAATATATTACATTATACTGTTTTTGTCATTACATGTATTTTTTTTCTCTATATAAGCTTTTTTTAATGGATTAAATGTTTAATGTTAACAGGAGTAGAGAATCTCACCAATACAGAAGAAAAAAACTTAAAACAACAACAAAAAATCACAGTGGATATATTACGAGGTGATGGAATTATGGGTGATTTCTATTTGTTTTTATATTTCAATTACAGTCGATATTCTATTCCACCATCTTGACTGGAAGTGTATAAGCTTCTTTATTCGCTGCAGGGTAGTTGAACATGGTTGTAAGCTTACCAGTTTTATATTATATATTTTTTCTTTTAACCAGTAAAATCTCAGAAGATGTGGCTGTGTTAGAAATAGGGATATCGACATACAGTGTGTTGCTGGATGTCCTGGATCTTTCTAGCCCCTCAAGCTTTTGCTCACATTTTTTCTACCTGGCCTGCCCTCCGCTACAAAGCTAAATCCTATCCATTTTCCAAGGCCTAGTTCAAATGCTCCTTTCCCTGCACTCTCATAACACTTTCTTTTTCTAATATGTTACTGAGATTAAAAGGGTATATCAGTCTTTCCTACTACACTGTGAGACTCTCCAGGATAAAAAAAAAAACCTCTCATGTCATGACTGTAGACATAAGAAAGTTTGAAAGATAAAAAAATCTTAACCAATGTCACCCCAATAAATTTAATTTAAAAATGCATTAAAAAAAATCTTGCCTGGCCGGGCATGGCTCAGCGGCTGGGCGTCGACCTAGGATCCAGACGATTGGGGTTCGATTCCCGGTCAGGGCACATGCCCGGGTTGCAGGCTCGATTCCCAGTCGGGAGTGTGCAGGAGGTAGCCGATCAATGACTCTCTCGTCATTGATGTTTCTGTCTCTCTCTCTCTCTCTCTCCTTTCCTCTCTCTGAGATCAATAAAGATATATTTAAAAAAAAAAATCTTGGTTCAAAATATCCTTTAAAAAGGATGAGATAAGCAGCCTAGTTATTCAATCAGTGGGACTGCTAGAACCCATCTTCATAACTAAACTACTTGAAAGCAAACTCTTTTGAGGCCAGTGACTCTGGCCTATTTCTTGTGTATGGGCCCTACCACCCCCACACCTTAATATCACCTAATTCAATGTTCTGCACACACTTTCAATACAAAGCCATATTATTGTAGATGAAGCTGTAATTAAAACAAAGATGAGATGCTGAAAAATACTGACTTGTAAAATAAGAGTTGTCAGTGATTAAGATAACGACTCCTACAACAAAAAGTGACAATGATAAAGATACCACAGGATGAGACAAGGATGGTAAGTAAATTTCCTGGGAAGGGAACAGAGTGAACAAAATGCAATGGAAACAAGAGTGTTCTCTCAGTTTAGCTTATGCTCCCAGAGCGACGCAAGAAGCAAAATAATTTTTTATATTATTTCATTGATGATAATGATCAGTCTATATGACTTCCAATACCAAACACAGACCTTCTTGTACTTTCAATTAATTAGGTAATAAGATGGGCCATGGATAATCAGGGCACTACCCCAGGAGGGTAAAAGAAATTGACACAAGTCAGGACCTAATCTCCCCATCTCTATTCCCCTGTAAGAGGAGGTAAAACATGAGTGTGGTAAATACTGGAGTTGTGAAGAAGTGAGAGTTTGGACTGCCCCAGATTAAAATGACCTTCTTGCCACACTCAGTAGCACAGACTGACAGTAGAGAACACCCCTCCAGTAAAAGGGGACGACAGGGAGCCGATAAAGGACTTACCTGGTTTTTCTCCTCTGGTTAAACCTCGGGAGCTACGTAGCCCGTAACAGCGACAAATCCACGCGCCGAGGCTCCAATCTCACACGGCGGGAGAAGTCATAGCAGCGGCGTGTCTGTGACTGCGGCGGNGCGGCGGCGACCGCGGTGGCGACAGCAACTCCTCCCTCTGCCGCTTCTCTACCTCCACCCCCAGCAGCGCGACGGCGGTCTTCACCCTTCCTCCTCTCCCTCCCCCACTTCCGGTTGGTGCCCGGGCCGGAAGCAGGGCGCGCCAGGCGGGGAGAGGGACGCGTCACGTGAGGGGAACGCAAGGGCTACGGTCGAGCCCTCTGGTCCCCTGCTGCCCCCGGCAGACGCGCAGCCTCGGGAGGAAGTATATTTGGCGCTGTAGNCTGTAGAGCGCCTCTTTGCCCCTTCACCGAAACCGAAACAAAACAAAAATCCACCCAAACTTCTGTCATCTGTAGTTTCCTCACCTCCAGCCAAGAAGTAATAGAGCTTCGTGTAAATCATCTTCCCAATAGTTCAGCTTTTCCGAGCATGAAATTAACGTACTTCTGTTGGACTGTGTAGCCTAACTCCAGATTTAAATGCTATAACCATGAACTTGCTCTCGTCTCTCCACTGAAAAATGATTTCCAAAAATTTTTAATTCATAAATTATGTATGTACACTTAATTCATGCTTTTAAATTCGTAATCTTTATATGTGTGAGGGATCTCACCTCACACTACCTTCGCATGACCATCCCAAGCTCTGAATCACTTCCGCATTTATTCTTTCATTTGTCCAGCATTTAAAAACCTAGAGGATTCCAAGGATGCAAAAATATTACAGTATATATATCACCATGAGTTTTAGATAGATATGAGATGCACAAAATGTAGCAATACAATGCAATAAGTGGTACAGAAATCATTTGAGAATAATTAATTCTTTTATTCCAGTTTTCCAATCTGACTTTTTAAAAAGCAGCAAAATTGTAAGATTTTTAAAACTATGAACATTAACAGTAAGAGGATGAGGCTCCATCTCACTAATTTCAAATAAAGATATGGTCTTTCAGTATTTCATTTCATTAAAGATCTGTCACAAGATGTAGGGGGAAACTAATCACAGTATTACTTATATTTTCAACTGAAACCTTTTGAACCCAGTTCCCATAGAAAGAGTATCAAGTCTGATAATGTTGTGGAACTCAAAATAGTACATAAATACAAATATTAAACAAGTTAATTAATATTTGCAAAAAGGTTTATAATTTCCGTCCTACCTGTTGTCAGATTCTTATTAAGCCTTGACAGACAACACTTAAAGTTGCTCACAGATCGAAATTACAGGCTTGCAATTTTAGAAGGAATTGTTCCTTCCCCCTCAACACCGATCCACATAAATAGAAAATTAGCTTCAGAATTCCTTGCCTTCCTCGACAGGAAGTTGTAGTTGTCAATCAATGTGCACAGCCTTAATTATTAAGATACATATTTAGGCCCAATTTTAAAATCTTAAAAATACATCACATGAAATTAAGATGGTTTTTAAGTGGGCTTCCATTTATTAGCAAGTTAGTTTTTAACTACAGTATTAACACTGTGTTGAGCTTTAAAGAAATTTGCTTAAAGGCAGAAAACCAGGTTTATCTTCTGATAACCTTTATCAGAAGAATATTAAATCTACTAGCTCTCTAGTTTTTATATAAAGTTTATCATTATAAACTGCAAGCTCCTCTACCATGTACACCCTTAGCCACAGAGCCATTCACTCATTCTAAAACACTCAAACACTCATTCTAAAACATCTCATGTCACCTCATGTCTTGCCCTGGCCAGTGTGGCTCAGTTGGCTGGATCATCATCCTGTAAGCCCCAAGGTGGCAGATTTGATTCCCGGTTAGGTCACACACCCAAGTTGCAGGTTCCATCCCCTCTCCGGGCACACAGGAGATAACCTCTCTCTCTCTCCCTCTCTCCCTCTCTCTCTCTCAAAGCATCAACCTGAATCTTCCTTCTAATGCACAAGCTTATTACAATTTTTTATGATTTCGATATTATTCTAACTGAGCTTTCTTTTTTTAAAAAAAAATACATATCTTTATTGATTTCAGAGAGAGGAAGGGAGAGGGAGAGAAACATCAATGATGAATCATTGATCAGCTGCCTCCTGCACACCCCCTGCTGGGCATCGAGCCCGAAACCTGGGCATGTGCCCTGACTGGGAATCGAATCTGGATCTCCGAGATCATAGGTTGACGCTCAACCGCTGAACCCTGCCAGTCGGGCTCTAACTGAGCTTTCAGAGAATGGAATGTGTTATGTTCTCAGTAAATAATCAGGTTTTCTGGGATTGAACAGTTTAGTAGGTGTCCCCCAAATGCTTACAAAGTGGTATTAATATCTCCAATAAAATAGTCATGAGGGTGAGAATTCAACATCTATGCCTCTATAACTACAATGGCACCTAGTTCTAAATAATAATTTGGAAGAACACAATACACCCCCTAAAGTAATTGTTTTAGGGTGAAATTAAGAATGGGATTCATGACATTCACCCTAATTTTAAAAATACTTGATAACCCTTCAAAAAATAACATTTAAAATTGGCAATGCTTCTAGGCAGTTGCTGCTAGAGCCTCCCTGCCCTCTACATCCCCAAGGATGTATTATTTCCCTTTGCCCCAATATATCTTACTACTATATTTATTTTTTTTAATAAATAAATAAAAATTGGCAATACTTCTAAAGTAAATCACTTACATAAATTTGTTGGACACATAAATTTTCTTGTCTTTTTTTTATTCTTCAAACACAGTTAACATTCAATATTATTCTGTACCAGCTTCAGATGTACAAAAAAGTGACCAGAAAATCATGTACCTTACAGAGTGGTCCCCCACTGCGCCAAGCACCCACCTGGCCTCATACACAGTTATCACAGCACTATTGACTATATTCCCCAAGCTGTGATCTACATCTCTATGACTCTTCTTTGATGACCAATTTGTATTGCTTAATCCCTCCACCTTTTTCACCCAGCGCCCAAACTCCTCTTCCCTTTCACCAGTCTGTTCTCTGTATCTATGAGTCTGTTTCTATTTTGTTTTTGTTTATTTTACTGATTAGAATCCACATATAAGTGAAATTATATGGTATTTGTCTTTCTCTGTTTGACTTATTTTGCTTAGCATAATACTCTCTCAGTTCATCCTTGCTATCTCAAAAGGTAAGATTCCCCCTTTTTTCCCAGCCAAGTATTCCATCGTATACAGGGTGTCCCAAAAAAATGTATACACACTCTTAAAGATCATAAAGTCTTTATTAACATACAATAACTATTCAAAATTATGTTTATTCAAAGTATGTTTATTAACATACAATAGATATTCAAAATTATGTTTATTCAAAGTATGTTTATTAACATACAATAGATATTCAAAATAATGTTTATTCAAAGTATGTTTATTAACATACAATAAATATTCAAAATTGTGTTTATTCAAAGTATGTTTATTAACATACAATAAATATTCAAAATTAAGTGAGTTATCAGCTGTTAAAAATGTGTATACATTTTTTGGGACACCCTGTATATGTACCACATCTTCTTTATCATCTATTGATGGACATTTGGGTTGCTTCCATATCTTTGCTAATGTAAATAATGCTGCAATGAACATGGGGTTGCATATACTCTTTCGAATTAATGTTTCAGGTTTCTTTGAATATAGTTCCAGAAGTGGAATTGCTGGGTCATAAGGCAGTTTCATTTTTAATTTTCCTATTTTCCATAGTGGATGCACCAATCTGAATACTCACCAAGAGTGCACTAGAGATGATATATTATAGAATTGAACCCCTGAAACCAATATAACTTAACCAAAGTCACCCCAATAAATTCAATTAATTTTATTTTTTAAAGCAGTGCACTAGGGTTCCTTTTTCTCCACATCCTCACCAACACTTGTTGTTTGTTGACTTATTGATGATAGCCATTCTGACAGGTGAGAGGTGGTATCTCATTGATATCAGGTAGAGTGATACCTCCAACTTTGTTCTTTCTCCAGATTGCTGAGGCTATTCGGGGTCTTTTGAGGTTCTATATAAATTTTTGGATTATTTGCTCCAGATTTGTAAAATATGTCATTGGTATTTTGATAGGAATTGCATTGACTCTGTTGATTGCTTTGGGTAGTATGTATATTTTAATATTAATTCTTTCTATCCATGAGCCTGGCATATGCTTCCACTTATTTGTATCTTCTTTAATATCTTTCTTCAGTATCTTATAATTTTCTAAGTACCTCCTTGATTTTCTTTACTTCCTTGATTAAATTTATTTCTAGGTTCCTTACTTTTATGCAATTGTAAGTGACATTGTTTTCTTAGTTTCTCTTTCTGATATTTCATTATTGGTGTATAAAAATGCAACTTATTTATGAATATTAATTTTGTATCCTGGGACATACATATTTTTGACAGGAAGACAAATTTGACAACCTTCCCACTCTGTGTATTAATAAAATTTTCAAAGTAATGTTTTATGGAATAAGTCGAGTGCATTTGTGAGAGGATAAAACTTTGAGCATTCTAGTTAAGCTGCAAGGTGAAAATATTGTGATAGCATAAAATAATTTAGACTTAAACTACTGCTTCATTTCTGCTAGTGGCCTTGGTAGTTTTAGAATACTCATCAGAACAAGGTTAACTACCAAATTAAGATTTAAGTTTGTTCAGTGATGCCAACTACCACCTCCAGGTTTTATCACACAAAGCAATATATATGCTGGCAAATGGACAAATAGACATTTTAAAATGTCATACATATTTTTTTGTGCCTATCAGAATAGCTGACAATTACCACTTACCTGATAAGTGGTACAAATCACTAAAAATTACCTCCAGTTGTTAGAAATTCATAATGCCAATTCAGTAATAAAATATAAATAATCTAATGAAAGGTTGAAATTTCCTTAAAGACAGGATTATTTTTATTACTCATGTCTCAAAGTTATAACCATTTGAATATTTCAGTCCTTTTTAATATTCATTCTAAGTATGATATACAGTGTTCATTCAAATGTTATCAAATAGTGGCACTACTTTATAGTTACTAATTTTGCAACCCATTTATTTTAC